CAGTATAAATACAAAAACAAAAACAAATCAAAAACTTCAGCAATAAAATAATTTGTTGCTAACAATCTTCCAGCAGAATAGTTTTAAATAAAATAAAAAAGTAAAAACGACAGAAAATCATGAAAGCTATAAAAACACAAAAAAAAATGCGTTGTTTAATTTAAAAAAAAAAAGCAATATATGTAAACATAACCATTTGGGCTGATTATTTAATATCATCAAAAATAGTTATCTTATATACTAATGTTTTGAAACCATTTTAATAAAAGCCAAAGAAAGTGATAAAGATTTAATTTATTTATTAGTGATTTAGTTTAAACCTTTAAATTGTTTTCAAAAAAGGTATTTGAAATCTAATATATCGAATTCCATGTTCAGTAAATGCCGTTTTGAATCATCCTTAAAACTTTGCAAAGTTTAAAACGAAGTTTTGTTTTTTACTAAAGATTGGAAGAAATTTTTTCCAAACTAAAGGTCCCCGATATTGAATTTGGTACGAACTTAATTTAAGAAGGTTTATGGGAACCACAAAGTTATTCACTGAAAATTTGGTTGGATATTTATGGGAGATTTCATTAAAGTAGGATTGAAATGTTACTGGAGAAATCCCAAGTTTTGCTTTAAACATAAATAACATTACTTGATGAATATTAAGTTTATAAATATTTAAAGCTCCAAGCTGACGTAAGAGAGGTTCGCATTGTGTTTTTCTATTTGCCCCAAATACTATCCTGCAAGCATGTTTTTGTTTACTATAAATTTTTTTGAGTTTAGTGTGATTAGTGCAACCCCACGAAATGTTACAGTATGAAAGATAGCTGTGTATAAACGAAAAATATAAATTTTTTAAAGACTCGTTATTAAGAAAAGGTTTTGTTCGGTATAACATGGCAATATTTTTTGAGATTTTACCTTCAATATATTTAATATGAAATTTCCATGACAATTTTTCATCTAAGAGCACTCCCAGAAAGTTTGTAGTCAATTCCCTTTTAATTATTTTATTATTGATTAAACATTAAAAGAGAAACTTCAGTAAACTTTTTGGGCGTAATATTAGATGAACATTAACGTTGGAGCGATCATATAAAAAGCATTGTATAAGCATTGAAAAAAATATCAAGAAATATTGCCATGATATATATAGGGCTAAAGCATTTCTAAATAATAAATCTTTAAAAAGTTTATATTTTCCTTTCATTCATTGTCATTTGATTTATTGTAATATTGCATGGGCAAGTACAAATCATACAAAATTAAAAAAATTGTATAGTAAACAAAAACATACATGCAGAGAGCTGATGAATAAGTACCATGCCTCTTTTGCGTATACTTGGCGCATTAAACGTTTATAAAATCAACTTACTCCAAGTTTTAATGTTCATGTATAAAACAAAGATAGGACTTTCTCCCAAAATAGTTCAGTCCTATTAGTGCATAAATACCCGATAAAACTTTCATATAATAACTAAATTGTCCCTAAATATAATTCAAAACAAATTACATATTTAGTTCAATATTGTGGACCTTGTTTGTGGAAAAAGTTTTCTAATTGCAAATACGAAAAAAGTTAGTATACAATAGTTGAAAAATGAATCGAAACAGGTGTTATTACTTATTGATTTTAACATATCCTATTTTAAATGCTTCTTTTAAACTAAAATTCAATTATATAAAATATGTCTTAGAATCATAGCCGTAGAGAGGGGGGGGGTCAGGGGTATATTGCCCTGGGGCCCGGCTCTGTTCAAGGGCCCGGACTTGTGAATTATAAAGTATTATATTTGCCTTTTTAAATATACTGCATTTGGATTGGTTGTTCTAATTACAGTTTTTAACATTAGTATCACCGTAAACATTAAATTTAAATGCAAAACATAATAAATATTTTATAAATTTTATAAGCTAAGTTATTCGGAAATAAATCAAAAGGAAAATATCTCAAAAAAAAAATTATGTAGTAAAAAATATACTTTGAACACATTATTTGGAAGCATTTATAGTTTGTATAATTCGAGTACTCTAGATCATTTGCAGAACATTAAATCAATTGCGGTATTTTAAAATAAAAGACAAAGAATGCCAGAAAATTGTCTATTTGATTCTATAGTTTAGTTTATTTTTATGTTAAAGTTTAATCAGTTGTATATGGAGTTTTGTTATAAGGTGTAAAACATTCAATTATAAAAATTGCTTTATTTAATAAATTATATGACGCTTAAGATCAGTGACGTAGCGAATATTTTTGCGACCGGGGCAAAAATGAAATAAATGCGCTTTTTTACAATAAAATTAAGGGGGCTCACCCCCTTCAAAATAGCACAAAAAAAAAAAAAGTGAAATTTTGGGTATTTTGTTTTTTAAGTATAAAATTTAATGAGGAATCTGATTCTAATTTAAAAATAATAAAAAAAACAACATAAGTATGTCTATTTCTTGTTTTTTTGAACATAGTATAAAAGAATTTCCTTAGCAACGCCCATAGTAACAATTTTATTTTATTTTTTCCACCTATCTACAATACCTTTTTTGTATAAAACTTAATCTTATATGATTAATTCAAGTCTGTGAAGTGTTAATTTTTCAAAGTAGTTCCATGTAGGTCTGGAAAAGCTATTTTTGAGCATGTTAAGCACGTTTCTACACAACCACATAACATACACTACTTCACATGTGTTATCACTATTTATTATAAGTTAAATTATGTTTTGTAAATTATTTAGTGATTACTGTATTTATTTACAAATAATTTATTGATATTTTTAGTTGTGTGGATAAGTTTAAAAATAATTATTGGTAAAAACGAAGAGCTTAATTATTAAGTTAATAATGGAAAAAAATAATGTTGCAGATAAAAGAACAATAATAAATGATAAAATTAAAAAAGTAAAATTTGCAAGTTTAAGAAAAAAGAAAAGGAAGTTTAAAAGAAACCAACACACAAACAAAAAATAATGTGTGTTAATGAAATCTGTTAAATCTTGTTCCATTTACTTCAGCATCATTACCAAAAACAAGATCTTATACGAAGCTGTCAAGCCATGCTATTCCTCAGCTTTTAAATGATGGTATTACTGGGAATAGAATTTTGGACATGTTCCGTTTATCAAACTTAGTTTCAGTTCTTGCTTGTCCTTAATGCAAAGAAAGTTCATGTATGAAGCTAAGTGAAAGTTTAAAATATGGGTTTGCAAGTAAAATGAAAGTAAAACGTTCTTGCCAATGGGAACATTCATTTTGGACATCAAAAAAACTACCTTTTAACTTACGAGGGTTCAGTATAAACTATAGAATAGTATACTCGATGCGTAGATGCGGTCAAGGCTTTGCTGGTATTAATCGTTTTAGTTCCTTTATGAATTTTCCACCATCATTTACATCAAAAAATTATACCAAGATTATTTTTACGTTAAAAAAGAGTGTTAAGGTTGTCGCTACTCAAACTTTAAATGATGCAGCTCAAGAACTAAAAGTGTTATCCAAAAATCCACCACAAATTAGTTTTTATGATGTACCTGTGTCATGTGATGGTACCTGGCAAAAGCAAGGATTTTCATCGCTAAATGGTACTGTTTGTTGCATTTCAATGGAAATGCAACAAACAGTAGAATTATATGGAGATGGCGATTCCAAAAGTTTTATTTCAGTGAAAAACATATACGATGGTATAGAAGTTGTAAAGAGAGAATGTATAGGGCATGTTTTTTTATTCTGAATATCGTATTCCCTTATTTTTAGTTACACAGCGATTTTTTCAATTTTTATTTTTATTCGTGTGGTATAGTTTATAAATATAAAATTATAGATTATGTAGATGTTGTATAATTTTCCATTATCAAAACCCCTTTAAATTAGTTTTATCAAGCTTAGAATTAAAAAGCTCTAAAAAATAACATCTTACTATAGCTTTTTTTACAAAATGTTTTACGTTTTGCTTATTTTCTCAATATTCGTTTTCTCAGAGTTTAATAGAATTTGGAAATGTGGTAATTCTTTTTCTATTATAGCTTTTGAGCTAAAATTTTCACACAACACCCAAAGTAGATTGGTTATTTCATGCAATAAACCAAAAGTTTGCTTTAAATTTTTTGTATTTTTTATAATTAGCTTGTTTAAAGTTTGTTTTTATCTTAAAAATATAGAAAAATTTTGTTGATTTTTTAAAAACTTAAATAGATATCTTTCCCAAAATAATATTTTGATTTTTTTTTGTTTATTGCATGCATCTTATGTTAATAAACAATGTTAGAAAGTTTCATTGAAAAATATTTTACCAATCCAAGGGAATTATTTTTCCAAACTTCAAGAATTTATGGTTTTCGCCATTTTGAATCAGTATCCATGGCAACAGGTGTCGTTATTTTAAAATAAAAATATATTTTTTTAATTACTGTTATAATATTCTTTCCAATGAATACCCTAAAAAGCATATGCACTTGGTAGTTCTCGAAAAAATTTTGAAGGGGGTGAGCCCCCTTAAGAAAATATTAGTTTTTATGTTAAAACTGATTTCATTTTTTTTTTGCTCCTCAATTTTTTAGGCCTCTTAAAGCCTTCGCGACAGGGGCCATTTCCGCTTTGGTCTCCCCTCATTACGCTAATGTTTAGGAGTGTTTGTTGCACATATTGCTTTATAATACATATCATCGATATATCAATGACATCTTTAATATGGTATATTATATCATATAGAGAATGTTTTATTTACCGGAATGATAATTAATGCCAAGTTATTTTAAAATCATATTTAGTAGTCAAATAAAAAATGAACTACCATCACAAATCTGGATCTCAAAAAAGGAAAGAAAAATTGTCGAGATTGAAAAATGTAAATGAAAAACAAACTCTACCTTAAAAAAAGTTATGGATTTTCAAATGAAAGACCAAATGCTTCTGAAATTGAGGAAGCAGTTCGTAGGGGTCCAGAAAAGATCCCAAATTTCCAAAAGATGTGAACGGACATTCATTTCTTGTTTGTATACTACATACAAGTATGAAAAATGGAGAATATGTTCCCCGTGATTGGCTTGTTTGGAGCAAAGTTAAACAATCGATATTTTGTTTTTCTTTGTCGCCTTTTTAGCAAACGACCAACAGCAAGTCGCTCACGTTTAACAGCTATATCTTGGTATTGTTTTCAAAGAAAATGGAAAAAGTTACATGACAAAATTCCAGAGCATCAAAACAGCAGCAACCATAAATATTTTTATATTAAATGGCGGCTATTGGAAAAAAGTATTGACTCTAATTCCACTGTCGATATTATGTTGCTGCAGACCATTAAGAATCAAGCATCACAATGGAAACAGGTTCTTCGCCAAATTTTAGATGTCACATTGTTTCTAGCCGAACGAGGTTTGGGATTTAGAGAAACAAGTGATTTACTTGGAGTTGCAGCAAATGGCAATTTTTTGGGCATTTTAGAGCTCTTGAGCTATTATGATTCTGTCTTGAAAGACCATCTGAACAAAATGATGAAGTCGCAAAAATTGAAGAGAAGGCAACTAGCAAATTACCTTTCACCGGAAATACAAAATGAGTTTGTAGAGTGTTGTGCCAAAAAAGTATTAGATGTTATTCTAAGTGAACGAGAAGCAGCAAAATATTACTCAATACTTGTTGATGCAACCCCTGATTCAGCACATATGGAACAAACTGTATTTATATTGCGCTATGTTTATTTAAATGAAGAAAATACGAAGTTCAAGAGCGATTTCTAGAGTTTGTTGTCTGCAATCAGAAAAAAAGGAAAGCTATTGCTGAATTAATTTGCAGTGTTATTAAAAAACACAATATACCAATGATAGACTGTTGTGGTCAATGTTATGACGACGGTAGCAACATGAGCGGTCAATATAAAGGAGCACAAGCAGAGATAATTAAAAAGAACCAATTGGCAATTTATTCTCCATGTGCTTGTCATGGCTTAAATCTGTGTGGTGTCCATGCCGCAGAGTGCTGCACAGAGGTTATAAACTTCTTCGGTGTTGTGCGAAAGACTTATAACTTGTTCAGCTCTAGCCCGCAAAGATGGGAATTTTTAAAAGAAAACATTGGATGATATTTGTATAGCATGTCAGATACACGTTGGTCAGCCAGGATTGAAAGTGTAAAACCTTTTGCAGAACATATTCCTGGTTTAAAGAATGCTTTTCAAGACTTAAAGAAGCTAAATCTTACTGCCGAGTCTCGATCAGATATCAAAAGTATTGAGAAATACTTGGGTTTATTTGAGTGCATTATACTCGCAAGCACTTGGTTTAAAGTTCTAACAAGCATCAATTACAGAAACACAGTTCTGCAAGCCATAGATGTAACTTTAGATGTGGAGGTTTTAAATTTAAAAAACTTAATTGATGACCTCTTATTATTGAGAAACAACTGGGATTCAATTTTAAATGAATGTAAACTTGTTGCCGAAAATCTCGTTATGGTTTCCAATGACATATTTCCGGAGAAAAAACGCAGCCGAAAAGCTAGATTTTCAGATGAGGAACAGAATAATAAATTAGGCAACATCAGTGCAGAATTTTGTTTCAAGCGCGATGTTTTTTATGTTCTTTTAGACTGTGTCATTGGTAATATGAATCGGCGTTTTGAGACAGCCAAAGATCTTGAGGAAACATTTGGTGTTGTATGGAAATACATGACATTAGATAAAGATCTGCTGAGGGAGAAAGCCTCATCTATTTGCGTTAAATACGGCATTGATGTTTCTCTCGATTTAATAGACGAGTTAGAACATTTAAAGGCAATTCACGCATCAAATCTTGGCATAATACAGTTATCGCCGTTTCAATTATTAAACAAACTCTATGAGTTGAAGCTTGATTCTCTTTTCCCAAACATTTTAGTTGTTCTTAGAAATTTTTGCACACTTCCAGTTACTGTTGCACAAGCAGAACGCTCTTTCAGCACGCTTGCAAGAGTTAAAAATGTTTTACGTTCTACGATGTGTCAAGATTGACTTTCTAATTTGGAAAGACTAGCGATTGAGGCGCCACTTGCAAGGAAAATAGACTTTGATGCAGTTATCAAACTTTTTGCAAGCAGAAAATCTCGCAAAGCTTATTTTGGTTAATTGCAGTACAATTAAATACAATTATTTATTTTGAACACTTAGAATTCAAAATAATCTTTTTTTTAAAAGAAAACCAAAAAATATACTTTTTGGTTTTCTTAAAAAAAAAAAAGAAAGTATTAATAAAGTATTAATGAAGACTCTAATTTCTCTAAGAGAGTTTTACAGACAAACAAGTATACTTGCTTGTTTGTAAAACTCTCTTAGAGAAATTAGAGTTTTTTTTAATACTTTTTATTTTAATTTACATTTTCTTCTTTTTTATATTATATCAAGTTAATTACTTATTGTAGAAAAAATATTAAAGAAAAGGCTACTTAATTAAAAAGCTTTTTAATACAAAATTTTTTGCTAAATAAACTAAGTTACTTCGCGCAGCGGCCTTGCGTGCCAAAGTTCGTGTTTCTGAGTTAAAGAGTTGCGAGAGGGTTGTACCACAATTAACAACAAAAAATAAAAAATAAAAACACAAAAAAATGAGTAGCCTCCTCGACTATAGTGACCCCTCGGCCTTGGGAAGGTGAATAGTGTAAAAAAAAAAAAAATTCTAACAAATGCAACTTGTTAAAAAAATGAAAGGATTCGTTGGCCAACATAACTAATTAAAGACACATCTAGTCCTAGACTTTAAGATTGATTTTGATTTAGGTTAGACTAAAGACACGTCATAAACTTTAAGTTTAATGTTTTCAATATGGATATTAATATGTAAAATGAAGGGAGCCCGCCAAAAATTTACCCCGGGCCCCGGCTTGGCTCTCTACGGCCCTGCTTAGAATGTATCAACTTATTTTTTTAAATTCAGTTATGGTGTTTCCTCTAATCTTAAAAGTTATTGTTGAAATCTAATCTGAGTTCTTGAATATTTTTCTTTCTTTTTTTTTACTATCAATGAATTGTTATTTAATTTACTTATATACAAATGGGTTTTAAAATATACATACAGTATCGGACAAAACATTTGCAACCAACATAGAACAATGCTAAAAAGTGTTCCTAATTTTACATGTCTTAAAAACAATACAAACAATACTAGCACAGCAAACAGTTCAGGAGTCTGGAGTCATAGCATGCCATGACATGAGCAATCAGCTGACAGGTGATAGCACACAGGCAGAATTTCGCAGACAAGTGCCATTTTGCAGCAGACAAAACAAGTGCAACTTTTTTGGTTTGTTTCATTTTCTTAAGTCTGGTCCATGTCAACGTCACGGAAGTTTTTTAATAATTAAAGGAATAATAATAAAAGTTTCCAGAAGCATGCAGAAGCTTTCAGAAGTTTTCAGAAGAAGCATCTAGAAGCATCCAGAAGCATCTCCAGAAGTATACAGAAACATTCAGAAGCATCCAGACGCATTTAGAAGCTTCCAGAAGCATCGAAAAAAAGCATCTAGAATCTTTCAGAAAAGGTTCACACAGGTTCATTTTACTATATAAGAGACATGTAAACCCACATATAATTCAGTTTATGGAAGTCAGTATATGGAAGTCAATCAGTCAGTATTATCAAGACAGTTTATCGAAGTGAGTTTTATCAAACTATTTTATCGAAGAACATCAATACAGGAAGTGAAATACAGCAAGTGTTTCATAACATCAATACAGTCCACATCCAACCAAGACGTTGTGTTCCACAAAGCATTATTGTATCATCACAAGGTAAATGTAACACGGTAAGCCTTGAGAAGCGTGATTATTTATTTTTTTTATTTTTATGACTTCAAGTGCAAAAATGGCTCCCGACAGTCTTGGATTGGAACTAAGAAAGAAAATTATTGGCGACTACTAAGTGGAATGTCACAAAAAAGTATTTGTGATAAATATCGCGTGAAAAAATGGACCGTATCAAGACTATGTTCCAAATATCGTTCTACGGGGAAGTTGGCAGCAGATAGCAAAGATGGAAAACCGCGTTCTACCACTTCTAGAGAGGGTTCTATGATCGTCAGATTCGTCAAGAAGGATCCCTGGATATCATCAGTTGAGATACAAAAGCAATTAGAGGTGCCTGTATCGGACCAAACAATCAGACGACGTGCTGTTGAAGCCGGATTGTTTTCTCAACGCACTGTAATGAAACCGTTGATTTCACTAAAGAAACAGAAGAAAAGACTCCTGTTTGCTACATCTCATATTGACTGGAATGTGCAGGTATGGTGAACTGTCCTGTTCAGTGATAAATCGAAGTTCAACATCATTGGGAGCGAGGCTAACGGTCTAGATCCAATATATCGAATTGATGGAATAATGGACCGTTTTATGTATAAAAATATCCTGAAAGATGTTGTGTTACCTCATGCTGAATGGAATATGCCAATAAAACGGGTTTTTCAGCAAGCCAACGATCCGAAACACACTGCAAAAGTAGTCAAGCAGTGGTCTCAAGACAACCACCTATCGGTGATGAATTGGCCGCCTCAATCTCCGGATCTAAACCCTATCGAGAACCTGTGGGAGATTGTCAACCGCAGAATTAATTTTTAAGGTGTTTGTAATAAGGATCAACTGTTTGAACAAATCCAAAAGGCCTGGGCAGCGATTCCACAAAGTTTCATTGATCACCTGATCGAATCTATGCCTCGAAGATCTAAGGCTGTGATCGACAACAAAGGATTCGTCACACGAAATATTGATAGCGAAATACAGCTTGATCAACATTTTGTGGAGTTGCACTTGTTTTGTCCGGAAGGAAATCAACCTTTTTTAATACTTTTGATTAATTTATTAATTTTCGTGTCCAAATAATGAACTTTGTGATGAATAAAACTTGAAGAACGTTGTTTCTAAACAGTTACATAGTTATTTCTCTAAATTAAAAAAATGCAGCACTTTTATATAAAGAAAACAAATTAGCATTATTTGGTTGCACTTGTTTTGTCCGATACTGTAAATAGTACGGTTTTTCTTTCGATTTTTCTTGTTTACTCTTCACCAGAATATTGTTCTTGAAGTATTTCTCAAACTAATTATTATTTATTATTACATTTATAATTTTCAATAAATAGTTTGTAAAGTATAAATATATTATACATAGGGCTTCCAATACCGGACCAAAAATTAAATACCGGTTTTTCGGTATTAGATTTAGTGAAAGCCGATATACCGGTATTAATACCGGTATTTACAAACACTTAAAAAAACATTTATTAAAACCCAAAGTAACAAATAAACGGTTCAAAAACATTATTGTTTAAGTTAAAATAATATTCCATTTTTTCCATTCTCTACCTCTACAAATACCTCTACAGATGATTTTATCACGTCGAAACCTCGAGCTATCAGCGATTTTCTTAGTTCTTGGATGTTATAAAAACTCTGAATGGCAAGCCATCGGTGGCCGTCATTTTAGCTAAAACATTCGGCAGTGTCATCTTTTTCTTCGCTTTTCGTAAAATAAGTTAAAGTTTTATTTCTGGTCCTAGCGATTTGAAAATCTGGTGTAGCGGAAACACCAGCAGTAGATGGTGAAATTAAAACTTCAACTGGATAATGTTTCAATAAATTTATTTGGCGAGAAGTCCATAAATGTGTATGGAGTCCACAAGTCGAATCACCATAGGTCTTGAATTCTTTAGCACATTTTTTTACATTTCGCTACAGCTCCAGATTTATCGCGCAAAAAGTATTGCCACACGGAGCTTTTGCCCTGAAGGCTTTTTTCAAAATCTTCAAAAACTTTTGTTGTATCAGCCATGGCTAGGGCAGCATTTTTTTGAATTCTAGAATTCTAAATATGATAAATAATATTGAAATACAAAATATATAAATAATAAAAATATATATTACACAGCAAAATCCAAGATTCTAGGTTAAGAACTTTTATTCTTATTTTAAGAATTTGATTCTTATTTTAAGAACTTGATTCTTATTTTAAGAACCTGATTCTTATTTTAAGAACTTGATTCTTATTTTAAGAACCTGATTTTTATTTTAAGAACTTGATTCTTGTTTTAAGAATTTGAATCTTATTTTAAGAACTTGATTCTTATTTTAGATTTCCATTCTTATTTAAAGATATTTCAATAAAAAACATTGTTCCAAATTTTATAATATTGTAACATTTTGTTTGTATATAATATGTATATATATTTATACATGTATACATACTATATACAAACAATGTTTATATATATATATATATATATATATATATATATATATGTATATATATATATATATATATATATATATATATATATATATATATATATATATATATATATATATATATATACACACACACACACACACACACACACACACACACACACACACACACACACACACACACACACACACACACACACACACACACACACACACACACACACACACACACATACATATATATATATATATATATATATATATATATATATATATATATATATATATATATATATATCAGTAGATACCTGCAGGTATACCCAAAAAAAATTAAAAATTCAGAAAAATTAAAGCCACTGAATTTCCCTTTCTGAAAATCCTCCTCACCCTCTGATAGATCTTGTGTTCATGATTTTATGTAATCAAATAGTCTAATCCATTTGATCCATAAGACTAAAATACAAACCAGAAAGAGTCGTATACTTCAAGAATTTTATAGAACTTGCCTTTAGTAAATGCAATATTCATATCTGCAAATCTGCATAAATATAAACAGCATAAATGTGAATATTTTGTACCGGCGATGTAGTAGCAGAATAATATAAATGTAAGGTGCAAGCATACATAAGAGCGATTTGGTTTGAAGTTGTCCAAAGTTATGCACTTCTTTATAATAAATGAGTTTAATAAAAATTAATAAACTGCCGAGCGACGGATCAAGGAGTTTTTGTGTGGCTAAAGACTCTGCCCTTTCCGCCTACCCCCCCCCCCCCAAACTGTCATTAGGGCCCCAAAGTCTTAAAAACCTACAATCAATTACAAGCGTTATGTTTATGAGCGCATGTGTTCAAAAAGTTCATAAGAAATTTTAGAGATTTTAAAATGACTGCGGATCTTAGATTTTTTATATAGCAACTTTTTTTTAATTTTGGTTTTGTAAAAAATTAATGCTGCAACTTATTTATTAAACTCGTGATGAATGGAGTATTTGGACCAAATGTTGTTTGTTGTATTCAAACCTAGCACCCAATTTTTTCATAAATGGAATAACATCAATAAAACTGTATTAAACCAGCAATATATTTTTCTAAAGTCAAATAGATTGTATCAGTAAAAAGCAAATCTCTTTTAATATTAGGTACGCGGAAATCACGATTTACGGAACCGATAGACCTTTTCATAAAGCATTCCGTGAAAACGAGGCAGTGTTTGTAACAATCAAAACAAATCGACGATGTTTAAAAATGGCGATCTTGTCTGGGTTGCAATGTGCTTTTTATAAATGTTTTTCAAACAGCTATGATAGATAATGTAAATGGAATTAGAGTTCCAACAAATATTATATTTTTCACATTTCTAACTGTAGAAAGAAATATTTGGTGTAACTGAATAAAAAGACAAGAAAATAAAGATAATTTAAAGACAACAAATCTACTTGATTATGTCAAAAGCATTTCTTACAAGAAATGGTCCATAAAACCCCATTTGGTACACAAATAAAAATTATAAAAGTTTTTAGGACAATATTGTTATTTTGTTATTGCACTCATGAAATAAATTTTCAGCGTCAGATACATCCAGAAAACAACAAAGTTTCAGACAATGTTAATTTGAAAATGTCGATGACGATAAGTCTGCATCAGCACAATTTTCATCGCCACAAAATGAAGTAGATATCTCTTTATCGACATTATTGTCAGCGCCAATAGAGGAAGTAAATTTTAAAGTAAATGTTGCTGAAGATAAATTAGTAGATTCATTTATCCAGTATAGTTTATACTGGATTTCCATCAATAACCAAGCTGTTTAAGCATTTTTAGATCCTGGAAAAAAATGGAAAAAACAGTTTTTTATAACAACCAATAAACAAAAACAGTTCATCTACCGGACGACCAAGTGTATTAAAGCCGCTTGATGCATTTATTTTAACATTGACTTATTTACACGGGAACTTTGATCTTTGTTTTTGTTTATTTTTATACAATATTTCAGAAGGAACAATTTCAAATACTGTAAATACATAATTAAAATTTATGTATAAGACATCTGCATACGGCCTTGTATGGAGTGAGTTAGGAAGAAAATTTCCTAATGAATGCAGGAAAAGCTACCTCTGTAAAATGTATCATCTTAATTATTTATGCACAAAATTATGTAATTAGATAATAAAAATACAATAGTTAAATATTATTAGGAATAATACTTAACTATAAGGTGCATTTCCTACTAATAATAAATAAGTATTAGTAGGAAATGCACCTGAGAGAGAATTTATGTTTATTACGTTAATCAAAGTAAAACTGTATGAGTGATGGTGGCTTTACAATAGCAGAATACTATAGACCACTTAGTGTTAATATTGTTTTACCATCGTTTGGTTAAGGGTAGAGAAAAACTTACTATTGAGAAAACAGTTTTAAGTCAACAAATTGCAAACTAAAGAATTCTTGTGGAGAGAATAATATAGCATTTTATAAAATTCAATAATTATAAAGGCCAAATATTATAGTTGGTACATGGTGAAAATAGTATATATACTAAATAGATAAATAAATTTTATCAAATTAGCTATTTTAGCAAGTAAAAAAGTTCTGATATGTAGAGAAGAAGCATAAAGAAACATAAAGAAGAGAAGAAACATAAAGATGTTGCATTCTACCTGTGTCTTTGGAGCTATTTTGTGAAGAATTTAAAAAACAAAAAGAAAATACAAAAAAATGCAATAAATAAAAAATTTAATTAAAAAAAAATAAATTATTAACCGAGAAATAACACCTGATGTTGAAAGTTTTAAATACTTTTTCTGATTTAGTGGAACAGCTTAGAATTGGTTTTTACCTAATATTACTTAAATATTTACTTTTTTCATTTATTAACCTTATTTATGTAATTTATTTTATATTTTAGTTGTTTTTTTATTTAGTAAAAATTAAAACAAAAAATCTATTAAATAAAATTACATGACTGCCAATTAAAAAAAAGAAAAGAATTCAGAAATAGAGAGCTAATCTTAGGCAACAACATGACAATTTACAAATGGAGTGCAAAGTCCTATGGCTTACCTTCTCGTTGGTGCACTTCGTTAAATAAGTTAGACAAATAGTAAATGTCTAATTAATGAACAGAATAGCCAAAGCAATATTTTTATTACTTTTACTTAAGATGAGTAATTGAGACCAATGCTAAGTAAGTAATAAAATAATACCTTCAAATTTTGTTGCTTGATTCATAAAATCTTTATTCATCACTGCATCACTTCGTTTATGATTCAAAAGATAAACATCTGGCAGATGTTAAACTTTTAAAATCATTTCTAAAAGTGCAGTTTAGCTTGTACTTTCTTGACTTTCACATAGCATCATTAAATAGAAAATATAGTAATTAAAAATTAAATTTTAAAAACTATTTTAAAAAAATTACATAACTGCCTATTTAGAAAAGAATCCAGAAATAGAGGGCTAACCTAAGTCTACAATACTAATATTTTAATCTTTTAAGGCTACAATACTAATACTTACTGTGTGTATATATATATATATATATATATATATATATATATATATATATATATATATATATATATATATATATATATATATATATATATATATATATATAAATATATATATATATGTATGTATATATGTATATGCATTATGTATACATAATGTATACAGTGATGTTAGTAAGCTTAGCAAAAAAAGCGTTCTTTATCAAAGCTTTGCATGGTTTGTTTTTGTACAACCCGTAGGTTTTGACGACTTTTGAAATGAATGTATTTTCATAGTTTAATTATTATTTATGTTGCTACTATAAAAACATATATACATATATATTATATATATGTATATATATATGCATATGTATATATATGCATATATATATGTACATATTATATACATATATATATGCATATATATATATATAAATATATATATATATATATATATGTATGTATATATGTATATGCATTATGTATACATAATGTATACAGTGATGTTAGTAAGCTAAGCAAAAAAAGCGTTCTTTATCAAAGCTTTGCATGGTTTGTTTTTGTACAACCCGTAGATTTTGACGACTTTTGAAATGAATGTATTTTCATAGTTTAATTATTATTTATGTTGCTACTATAAAAACAATAACTAATTAAAGTGATTTGAACAGTGTTATAGAAATTGTAGAATCTAAATAGAGAAGACACCGACACATAACACCTCTAAACCCTACAAAATTATATATAAACGCAAAGTTTGTTTTGATTGTTACAAACACTGCCTCGCTTTGAAGAATCTCCTTTCTCCGTCGCAGATATTTATGAAAAGGTCTATTGCGCTAAAATTTTGTGGCTCGTTTTTTTAACTTTTTTTTAGGTAGCATTAGGCAAACGTATTTTTGTTAAGTTTTTTCAGAAAGATATATACAGAGAAAGATGAAAGATTAATCTTGATTTTTATATAACTTTTATGAATGGTTACTGAATTTTTTTATGGATTATTTTGGTTCTGAAAAATAGGTTGATGTTCTCACATAAATATGTAGTCGAAGGAATATTGATCCCGGTCTATTTATTATTCAAACAAATTTCTGCATGCAATTTCTATGCACATATTAAATTTCAACGAAAAAAAAAAGGGAGCAGATAGATTTCAAAGGGTTCTGCTACGCATACTGCATTTTTTGGTAGTCCTAGTAAAACGTACATTTGTGGTATTTATTTTTAGAAAAATATGCAAATGAAGGTTTGTTTTTGAAAGAAGAAAGGTTAAGCGTGATTTCTATATAACTTTTATGTATGGTTACTAAACTTCTTTATGGGTTATTTTGCTTCAAATTTTGCATGAAAATTTAAATGATGTTCTCACTTGAATTTGTAGTAGAAGGAATGTTGATCGCGCTCTATTTTTTATTTAAACAATTTTCTACATGCATTTTCTATGTAAATGCTAATTTTAAACGAAAAAAAAGGGAGCAGGCAGTTTACTAAGTGTAACACTTTTGGTACCTAATTTCTGTTTTTCTGATTTTTTTCGGTTATAGCAAATTACGGGGGCATCTAGGGGGGTCATTCACAAAACAATTTTATTTTTTTATTTTTATTTTAGATTTATTAAACACCCACTATACAAGTAAAGTAAATTAAGAGTTTCATACAAGATAAATATAAAAAATCTTGGAATTTTTTTTTTTTTTTTAACGTGATCAAGATGATCACGTTAAAAAAAAAATATGTTTTTCAAGAATGTCCTTGAAGTTAATACTCTGCTCTTTTTAGTTCCAGTACTCAACTGCACATTTTAGAGATTTAAGATCCGTTTCAGGAATTAAATTTTTGAGGCCTACAATTTTTATTTTTTTTTTACTTTCCATTATTGTCTCCAGATTTAGTTCATAATTATTGCACAACCCTTTGATACTATCTAAAAAATGTTGTGGGGCTGTTTTGTTTTTCAGCTGCGACCTAATAATATCATATGTCATTTTATTGTTCATCAAAGGAATAAATAATTTTAGCTTGTTTTGTTGTATAATAATTGATATATCTTCAATAAAAAATAAGGTATGAATATAATTTTTGCTATGTTTTGAAACATCGAGGAGTGACTTAAGTGCATTTCTTCCAACTATATCAAGCTTTTGCATTAACATTTTTTTATGTTCACACAGCTCAAGATCATACGTTAGTGTTGGAACAGCTAAAGTTTTATATAACTGAACAATGGAGTTTGGGTGAGCAAAACGGATTCCTGATTGAATTAAGGTTTGGTTTACCGTCCGGAAATTAGATATTCGATGATCAATGTTTGATTTATTAAGTGAGGCAAAAGGGGAACTTTTTGTATCCCATGTAAAGCCTAGATGACTAAGTTTATCATGAAGTTTTATTTGTTGGTGGTTGAGAGTTATTGTGCAGTTTTTAATTTGCTTTTTTCCGGTGAGCAGGAACTCGGTTTTGTCAGCATTCAATTTTATGCAGTTTTTGTGTGTGTACATATTACATATATTAATAAGCTTTTGTAGGCCAGAGACGGTGGAGCTAAGGAGTATAATGTCATCAGCATATGCTACAACACCCGTATAGTTTCCATTGATTGATGTACCTACGACGCTTTCGTTTTGTAAGGTTTCTAGTAGGTTTTGAGTATAAATGTTATACAAATGAGGCGAGAGAATAGATCCCTGTCTCACTCCTTGCGTTAGATAGAAAGGATATGATTTGCAATCTAGATAAGAAACAGAAGCACTGCTTTCATAGTATAATGACGATATGGTATTAACAATACACAGAGGGAGTTTTTTTATCATTGTATAGTCTCTCAAACAGAATGTTCCAATTGCAGCTGTCAAACGCTTTTTCAGCATCTAGGGAACAGAGATAGACAGGTGAGTTGTTGTGGTTGTTGTAGTGTTTAATTGTTTCACTAATAACAAATTCAGCGTGTAGGGTTGAGCTATTTTTAGTGAAACCGAATTGAAGAGGATGAGTTTCTTTTATTTCTGGACAGATTAGTAGGATAAGATATTCTATTAGTTTCGTAAAGATTGGAATGATGCTAATGCATTTATTCTGGGTAGAATATTTAATTGTGTATTGGTAAAGACAATACGATTCCTTATTGAAATACCAACTTCATTACATCGCTCACATGAATGATATCCCAAATGTTCAACAGTACCCTTTAAAAGTGACCTAGCAGGTGAATCACATGAAATAGAAAATACAGAAATACTATACTCTTTCCCGCATATTGCAATAGGACTATCAAAGGTTTGCAGCTTTTCAGCAAAGTCATTTAAGAACTCTGATGCAATTGGCTTCTTTACATCACCATACAATGCAACCACAAAAGGTTTAAAGTGCCCAAATTGACACAGTATAGACCATATTTGATATGAACTGGATTTAAAAACAGGGAATCTGTCTACATTTGATATTAATTTTATTTGAGTTTCATTAAAGATATGGTGTTTAAAAATATTTTTAATGCCCTGTCTTACTCCAAAATATTTATATTTTCCTTCAACATGTATGGAAGTTGTTGAAACAACCCTTGGAGTAAATAAAAGTGATCTTGCATCTTTTGGCAATTCCTTGTGATCATTTCTTATCAAAATATTTAATAAGTCGTTTACACATTGTCTGGTACAGCCATGTTTCAAACTCCAGTGCTGAAGTTCATTTCGTAATGGTTCTAATGGTGCCATATCATTATGCAGCTCATTATCAATTGGTATCTCATGTAAACCTTTTGCTTGGTTACCATTTAGTTCTGAAAGTATAGTTGAGATGCACATGTTTTGTATGAAGACTCATCCCTGCTTGGCATAGAAGTGGAAGATTGCTAAATAAGACATTATGCAAATAATTCTCAAACTATTCAATCTATTTGTTTTGCTCACTGTTTTAGATTATATACATCATGTATATAATCTAAATGTAACAAATATATATATGCAGGGTGTTAGCCAGGAATATACTTTTTACCATGTCTTAACAATATTGGGAATATTTATTGTTATTGCTGTTATCAACAAAATATTGTAAATTTTTATTGATATTGTCCTATTACTTCAAAAAAAAAAAAGTCATTGAAATTTGGGAATTTTACACCCCATTTAGAATTCTGCGGTATACATGGTGCCATTAGCCTGGCTAACACCCTGATACATGTATAATTAACTTATAACATGTATAATTGCATTAAGTGGATGTTTTGCAGAAAGATTATTTAATAAAATAAATGTCAAAATAATTTAGAAAAAAGAAATTTTAACTTCTTGCTCTCTATTTCTAATTGTATAAGTGATAACTTATGACTTTATCAAACTAACCTTTTTGTAGGAGAAACATGATGTTGTTTTAATGAGTGCTTGTATTCCATAACTGGATCAGATTTGATAAATTTTAAAAGCTTTATCTATTAAATATATAAATAAAAAATCATATATATTTATATTTATATATATATATATATATATATATATATATATATATATATATATATATATATATATATATATATATATATATATATATATATATATATATATATATATATATATATATATCTTTATAATTATATTTATACAAATCTCTATAAATATGTAAACAATTATATAAAAATATTATTATATATTTAAGTATACCTAATAAATCTATTTATTAAATTTTTTTATATTATTATTTATAGAATCCACTTCAAAAACAATTTATTGATTAAAAAAATGTGGTTCTATATTGACACAAATTATTACAAAAAATGAATAGAATAATAATTTTGACAATAAATATATAAATACAGTTTTGACAATTAATATAAAAATACAATTTTGACAATAAATAAATATATATATATATATATATATATATATATATATATATATATATATATATATATATATATATATATATATATATATATATATACAGTTAAAAAATTTAATCAACCAAAATTATTATTTTTTGGCTCGTTTTAGCATGTCGCCAATGACACCATCAATGCTGCTTGCATCATATCCATTTTTGTCTCCAACAATAGCATCTGAAAAAATATTTATCTCAAAATTTGATGTAAATCAAAGGACATGTTTTATAAAATACAAATTAAGCAATAAAAATATGTTATCAGCTTTTTGAATGTTATATATAGAAAAACTAAATTAAAGATATCAAAAAACAATTGAAATCAAATTGCAATCAATGAATAGCAGAAAATTAGTAATGAACTACTGTTTCACGTTCTGATCAAAAATATTTTGGTCCTTACAATTTATTAAGATGCAATAGCTTCCAACTCGTATTCAACACTCACCT